TTGTGTAACTCAGCTACTTTGCATGACTGGAAGGATGGAAGGATGATCCTGTATACTGTTGACAAAAGCCCGTACATTGCCAGCTAACAGCCATTTCTTCACAATAGCCACTGTTGTCCACTCTATGACATGTGAGCGATTCTCCTGCTTCAGACATTCATTTCCATGATTGGATTATGTTGATCCGAGTTGATTTGACTGAGCTACGGTCAAAGAGGGATTACATCAATCCACACATCTAACCATGCTCTATGTTGCTCAACTGAAGTAACCTTGTATGAGCGTAGCTCAGCCGAATCAACTCGGATCAACATAATCCAATCATGGAAATGAATGTCTGAAGCAGGAGAATCGCTCACATGTCATAGAGTGGACAACAGTGGCTATTGTGAAGAAATGGCTGTTAGCTCGCAATGTATGGGATATTGTCAATAGTATACAGTATCATCCTTCCATCCTTCTAGTCAGGCAAAGTGCTGAGTTACACAAAGAGGTCCCTCTGCATCTTTTGCTCTGCCAGGGTCCACCTACTTGACAATGAACAAAGACCACTCTTCATATAACATCACGCTTACAAACATAAAGGTGCCTGTATCTCCGAACTTTACAATGAAACGTGGGGTTTTGAATAGAGCAATGTGCTCGGCTTGGCCAACTGCACCTTGGGTGAAAGTTTCACGATCAAGCTTGCCAATCCCAGATTTCGCAATGTCGCTACCAGCCAAACTGGATCCGGGGGTCGACCTCTTCGACGACGACGACCAAAAAAATATTTTTTGGGCTAGTTGAGACATTGAACGTGAAACTTTCACCCAAGGTGCTGTTGGCCAAGCCGAGCACATTGCTCTAATAAAAACCCCACGTTTCATTGTAAAGTACGGAGATACAGGCGTCTTTATGTTTTACCTATGCTGTAAGCGTGATGGAGTTGCTTTTTCCTAGTGGATGGTGTCGTCTGCATTAACGGAAAGATGAAGAGCTGAGTGAAATGGCACGTGGTGGTTACACAGACACGTCCTTGATAGGTTGCTACACAAACGGATGATGACGATGATTGCCTTTTGTGAAGGTACGTAAGTAAACAGCATCCAATAATGAAGGTGTGTCAAGGTATGTATCACATTTGCATGTAGAAGAAAGTCGAGCTGCATAAACCAATTTGTATATGTAAAAAGATACATATACATATTGAATGAGTCACTCATCCTGAAACTCAATGGAGGGATCTCTTCACTTTTTCTCTTCTCAAGCTCATCCCACTTCCCACTCCTCCTTATTGTATCACAAAAGCCATGTACTTCTTGCATGACCGATAACCGGACCACCTTTATTATTCCATCTTCGAAGCAATAGTATGTAATCCACAAGCTAGCAACCTCCAACAAGCGTGTAATAAATAAACAATGCTTTATTTCATCTAGCTATCTTGCTATGTACTGTACATTGCCACCACCATCCTCGTAGTCGTCCTCCGTCATCATTCGTACTCGTACTCGTCACCAGTCGTCAATCTCATCCGTCATACCAACATCCAAAAACACACAAGTTGAAAAGAATGGGATCTTGCAGGCTTCCTTTTGAATCTCGTTGTCGTCATCATTGTCATTGTTGTAGATGGGGTGATCATCGTAATCGTCATTGTTGTGAATGTGGTAATCATCGTAATCGTCGTCTCTATAAGTAAAAAGCAGGCAAGTTAGACCATCTGGTACCGGAATGATGACGATTTGGTATACCGTTAGGCGATCCTCTCCAAGGAAGAAAGCAAATCAGAAGGAATTCACAAACCAAATCACCACCATACGAGCAACGTCGGGCGATCCCTTGTTCTTGAGAAACCACTGCACGAATCACGCAAGGTCAGTTCGATCCATGGCAAGGAAGGACATCACTTACGTAGAGTCCAGGCTCATAGGTATCCTCATTCATCCTCTCCTCCTCTCCAAAGAAAGAATGACCCCCAATCCTTCCAATCATTTCCCACCTCATGAAAAGAAATCCTCAAGGGAAAGAACGAGCCTATCACGAGAAGAGCGTGTTGGTTCAACACATTCACGGCCGAGCTGTTGCAAATCCCCTTTTACCTCAACACGGTGACCATGCTCTTCCAAAAAACCCATTGTCATCGACCCATCAACTCAACGCAGGCCTATAGAGCCCTGAACGCATTCCAAGAAGCTTTTCCAGCGCGCTTGGCTAGTGCAGAGCGATGCAGCGGCCACTTGATACAGGCTGGGACTTGAACCCAAAGAGATGATGATGCCCCAAGTTGCATTTGCCTGACCAAAGAAACCTATTCAATTCGTTATTAGCACACACACATACAATAAACGCCCTTTTTCATTGATTGTTTCATTGCACTTGCCTTTTCCACATTCATAAAGACGCGTTGTTGGTGGTTACTGGAAACCGAAAACGATGGTGTAGTAGTGTTGTTGAGCCGAAACAAAACGCCAAACCAGCCAACGTCTTGAAACCAAACTTGCCCTCTATACAAGCTAACACGTCAATGGAACCAGTTCGGCTGCAACATTGGACTTTGAATGTACCTGTTGACACCAAGCATAGAACGGGATAGCAACGAACAAGAGGAAGCAACGATATCGCCATGGCAACCACCAACCACCAACCACGCTCATTCCTCAGCACCTGGACACACTCACTCCCTGACAATGCAGGTTCAGAACTATGTTAATGCCTCACAAACAACAAGAGCACTCTTTTATAATACATTACCTTAATCGTGATGTCATGAATGGGATAAAAGCAGAGGAGGGAGAAAGAAAAGAGAAAGCGTTGTCTCAAGTCGTGGAGCTACCGTCCCCAAGTTTAAATCCCCCTACTGCTATTACACTGAGGCCACTCCACCCATCATGATCGATCACCCTCACGATAGACAATAGGTACACGTAAATAAAAGAAATGATCCTCATGTATAGCAAAATGGTGTGTGCTATTTTACTCTTTATATGATAATGATGATCCAACAACAGCCATTGCCTTAGTGCCAGGTTAGCTCAAATCAAGGAAGTTCAATGATGGGCATGCTGGGTTGGAGCAGGAGAATCATTCACATACAATGAATGGGTAACAGTTTCAAATAGGGGCAAGTGACTATCAGCTGGCAGATTATGAGCTTGAATCTACTTATATCATGCATTGATGTGTTCGCTGCTGTGAACATTTTTGCTTCAGGGAAGCTGATTACAGAGATAACCTCCTATGCTAAGTATTGATAAAGCAAAGGGTTGAACAGGTTCCTGTGAGAATGATGAGTAATACTACAAAAGCGTAAATGGGGATGCATAAACGTGCAAGTTTATTGTAAGGTCATTACTCGTGCATAGGGTAGTGTTAAGCCATTCAACGATCAATCAAGATTTACGAGTGAAGCGAGCAACCAGGGCCACTAGTCTAATAATTATGCAATCCTGCTAATCAGATATCTTCATTTGATTTACAGCTCAGCATAGCACGCACTAACCCATTGGCCCAGGGTGATGGGAATTTGTTGTGCAGCGCGAGACCGAGAAAGGGATTAAGGAACAAGCTAATTCCCGAGGAGAGAAAGTGACCACATGTGCACATGAAAGAAGGCACCGCATCAGCTTACATAAACTCTCTCACACTATCCATTTGATGGGCTGATTACCGGTGGCGTGCTTCTCGCCGTTCAAAAATTTTCCATGAGCACTGGATTGATTGGAAGAAGCACACTTTTTGCGGAGTCTCTAAGCTCAGCAACACAAATCGCCAGGGAACAGCAAAATCGCCAGACCCTTTTTCTTTTTTTTCCAATCCATCCATTTATACCACCATTCGCATAGACATTACGCACAATCAAAAGTCCAAGTGTGCCAACCACATCATTGACATTACCATTACAATGAATGAATACATGTACCCCACAGACAACAAGATGCTCTTGTACCAGCACAACAATAACCAATTTCCCACATCACCTTCAAGCAACAACACTACCTCACCACAACAACAAAATCCATTACTCTTTCAACAATTCAATACGGCATCCTCTGATATGACGTTGCTTTCAGACAACTGGAGCGGGATGAATGTGATGACCACCAACCCAGTCTCATGCAACCTTCAGGATGTGCTCTTGTACTATCGTTCACAGCCTGAACTATTACGCCTTATATTAATGAGCAAAGTGGAGGAGGATAAACGAAGGACAGAGGAAGCCCGGCTACGAGCTAAGGAGTTAGATGTCTTATTACTCCAAGAACAACAACAGCTGATGACAATGGCGTCGGCAGCTGGTATTGGTAGTGCTGGTTTCGATGGTACCACAACCAATGCCTCGGGTCACCTACCAGACCAGCAACAATATCGAGAAGCTTCTCCACCTTGTCATCCTTATGATATAACACCCCAAGAGCAACAACAACAACAACCATCATTGGACGATTATGCACAGCGTTCTTTTTCTTCTCCCAGCAACTCATCATCAACCGCATCCACACCAAGCACATCATTAATGTCTGTAGCAGCAGCAGGGTAAGTGACTATTTTGTGTGTAACCACAACATTGCCAAATCCCATATCTGATGATGCGTGTATGTGCTATAGATATCCCCCAACACCAGGGAAATGTGAACCAGTGAACACATTATCACCAACAGATTCCTTTCCTCAGCCATCATCACCACCATCATCCACCTCTGTAACAACACAACAGCAACCTCCTCCTTCTCAACAACACCAACGACCCATTCGACGTCGACGTGAGATGCAAGCGATTACCAAAATTGTCGAGACCCGTGAGTATCCTTATGTGGATGGCTTCTTTTGGAAGAACAATGGGAATACGGTACAGAAAAAGACAGGGAACAAGAGTATCTATTACAAGTGCTCAAACAGTGGCAAGGTATGTAATGTAAAGTGTCTTGGAGGTAGTGAATGGTAGCTGATACTTAAAAACGATTAGGGATGTCCTGTGAATAAGACAGTGTCATGGAAGGAAAATGGCGAATTCCTAATCAAGTATCGTGGAGAACATCTACCCGACTGTGGCAAGGTCCAAAGGATTGTAGATGTATGAATGTGCACGCATGTGAGAAAACTTGCTATTGCCCGATGATCGTTTATTGGCTGTGGGTGGTCATTCCCTCGTCCTTTCTTTCCCCTCTCACTCTCACTCTCGCACGAGATATCATTTTACCACGCCATCCTCTTCCTCCTCCTCCTTCTTCTTCTCCTTTCCTTGTTTGTATATAGCATCTCTTTTACCCACACCCAGCAAATACACATTGTACCATACGTCTTCCAATGTTTGCCACACTAGAGCTACCAGTACGAGGTATACAAATATATCCAACATTTGCATGAATTTGGTTCCTTGTCCTTTTCTCTACCACCACCTCACAACACTTTTTTTTCTCTAATGTCGGTCTAGATGACTGTCGACACAAGCGACTCAAAGTTGGTAGGGCATGTGTCCCCTGTAGAATGAAGAAGATCAAGGCAAGTAATGCGTGGAGTTTGGTTTTATTTTCTCACGATCCCAAAGCTCATCGATGAGGTCTCCATTGCAGTGTGATGGCAAGCAACCCTGTATGCAGGTAATACACCCTTGTTGTGCAACTGCTATCTCGGTACACAATGTTCGATTGCTGAGCCCTATGTATTCTTTTCTTACTAGTGCAAAGGTTTGGGCAATCATCGAATCGATGCATGGGCAACAAGGTTTACTCATTGATATATAGCTCGGCAGAGACAATGCGCATACGCCAAGAATACGGATGAAACATACATCAAGCTTGATCCTGTCGAAAGTAGTGATGCATGCCTTCAAGAAGTAGCCGAGCGTGCTCAGGAACAACAACGTCGCTATGCAACAACATCGTTCATGCCCACCACCACCACCACCACAAGCACTCCGACAACAATGCCCGATCAAGCCTTGATGGATGAGGATACTGCATTGTTTGCATCAACAAGCAACAATGGGATACGACATGGCGGTGAGCAGCAACAACAACCTCCAGCAGCAAACACACGCCCTGACAAGATGATTGAGCAATTGACGGAGGAGCTTGTGAATTTGACATTGCAGAGTGAAGGAGGAGGGTCATCAACAGCGGTTACAAATCAAAAGGGTGATGGATCCGATATCAATGGGACATCCACAGTAGTGAAAAGTGATCAAGTGACACCATGGCAACATTATGGATCATTAGTGCGTTGGTCTCCCGAGCCGAGTTTACCATCCAGCTACTGTATATCGATTGACATGCCAACGCGTGATATCCAGGAACGATTGCTGCACATTTTCTTCACTCATTGTCATCCTGCCATACTACCAACATTTTCACGTCGCATGTTTTTTGATCAATTACATGTCAAGGGTCCACTGATCACCCCCTTGTTGCTCAATGTCATGTACGCTTATGCCGCCAAACATCTCTCGGATACATCAACAACAATACCCAATTCACGCCTTCAAGCAGATGCATTCTTTTCACGAGCTCGTCAATTGGTGGATGATTTCTTGGATGTACCTCGTGTCAGCACAGTCATTGCACTCCTATACATGACAACTTTTGAAGGTACAAGTGGAACTCGTTGGTCGCATACACGAGCTTGGATGTATTGTGGGATGGCAGTGCGCATGTGCTTGGATCTTGGATTACACACGACACATTACAGCAGCCAAATGTCATTGTTCGATATCGAGTTACGTAAACGAGTACTATGGACATGCTATGTGATGGATAAATGGGCAAGTGGAATGGCTGAGCGACCATGGATGTTGCGTGCACAGGATTTGGTGCTTGAGTTTCCAGCTCCAATGCCAGAGGATGATCCACAAGAGGTTACAGTACTCAACAGCTTTATTGCACTTTGCCGGTTATCAATGTTGACTGAGAAGGTGGCCGAATTCTTTTCTGACACTGCACGACACAGCGAATGGACGATGCAAGATGAGGCTGAGATATTACATTTTCTTGGTGAACTCGATCGATGGCGTGAGGAGACGACTCAATCATCATCTTCTTCTCCCTTGTCGCTTGTTCATTTGCTTGGATACGATTTGGAACTATCACTCGTCTTGTGTTGTCGATATCAGCCTGCTTTTACAGAAAGACGCCGATCATTAACACACACTGTGACACAGCTCGTGTCGCTCATTCTACAACAACAACCCAAAATGTCAACACTCGTTCCATTTTCATTATTGGCATTTTCCGCTTTATTTGCAGCTTTGGCCCACGCCACTGATCCAGCCCTTCGTGTAGCAAGCGATATCCAATTTCAGTTTCAATCTTGTTTACACCATGTGCGTAGGCTCCTTGCCAACAGCACGACCTCCATCACTGGTCATGATAGCTATTCCGGCACGAACATTCGCAATGATCTTGTGCGTTTAATCGATATTACTTTACGTACGCCGACATCCAATATTGGATCAACAAGTAGTAGTAGTACTACTAGTAATAGCCATGCCACAACCACCATTGCATCTCTCCTGACATCCTCCTCACCTTCCTTATCTCCTGTACCACAAGCAGCATCCACGTCATCGTCAAGATCCTTTGAGTCGTCAAGAGCAGCCAGGGCAGCAGCTGCAGCTATCGGTGCTGTTGGCACACCAGCCTTTGGATCCTATCGTATGATGGATGAGCCTGCCGATTATACATTCGAATTGATTTCAGTGGCAGATGAATGGGCTCGATCGGTCGTATATCCTCCTCCTCCACCCACTACATCATCATCATCACTTCATCAACAACAACAGCAATAAACAAGCATAGATTGGGTTAACAATAGATAATACATTTCAGTTGCATCATGCATGTAATATACCTACAACTCTCAAATTGGAAATCTATATCCTTTGACCCCCTTTATTCACCCTCATATCGACCTCGGGACATCTATAAAGTGTTGTTGCACCACATAAAACCTTCCTTCTTCTCGGTGTATGAATGTATGATGTGCATCGCCTATCCTCCTTTTGTTGTGTTCCATCACACCACAGAATAAATGGATGGTGTGTCAAATAGGGAGAATGGATCGGCAGACAATATAAAAGATGAAAGATGCCCAAATAAAGTAAAGCATCAGGTCGTCACGGTAACGTTGTTTCCATCATTATCATTATCATGAAAGGAGAATTGGAGTATATATATATAAGCGCACCACATGTGCAAATGGAGGGCCAACAAGAGAGAGAACGAGAATAGACCGATCATTTTTGCTCTCCTCCTCTTCCTCCGTTCTCCTGTTCACAAGAAAAAGAAAAGACTTTCCGACAGCATTCGATCTCAAAATCATCTACGTTCCTTTTCCCTTTCATTATTGCTTATAAAGCACGAGCACACGTAATCCAAAAGTAGCAGCAGACACACAAGGATGATTATTATGACAACACCACCACTACTACTTGTTCATTGCTTACTGGCGGTGTTTCTTGCCCTAACTGTAACAGCGGCTTCCAATGACTCAAAGAGTACCACCACTACCACCACCAACCACAAGCATGGTCATGGGGATAAAGCACTTACAGGACGCTTCATTCATGTCACGGGTACAAACAATAACAAAGCTGCAATCGATCTTAGCACTTACATGGCACTATCATGTTGTATACAGATTTCCACTTGGACGAAGATTACAAGGAAGGCTCAAGTGACAAAGAATTATGTCATCGAGGCAAAGGAGATGCAGGTGTCTATGGTGCTGTTAAGACTGATTGTGATTCCTCCCCAGAATTGGTAAGTGAATCACTTTGGCAATAGACCCGATCCATCCGATTATTGCTCACCTTTTACGAACGCTTGGGCCACCACCTTGTGTACCCATTAGATCCGCATGACATTTGACTTCATTCGCAACAAAATTGGCGACGTTGATTTCGTCATTTACACAGGTGACTCTGCACGACATGTAGGTTGTTGCCAAACAAAACCTTGCAACATCGTTACTAAAGAATAATAATAGGATCGTGATGATGATTTCCCTCGTACCAAGAAACAAGTCGTATCGGCTCAAGAAGCCATTGTAAAGCATTTTACAGATACATTTGACACCGACAAGATCAAAGTGGTATGCATTGTGATGGCTAAACCCCCCACCCCTGGGACCCAGGAACAACAATTATGCAGAAAAATTGACTCAACATTTGCATATATAGCTTCCCGTAATAGGAAACAATGATGTGATTGATCACAACCAATGCGGCGCTAATGATGATGACTTTAAAGTCATTCAAAACATTTGGAAGCCCTTGGGTCTCAATACGACGGATGACTTTGAATACGGAGGCTACCTTGTTGAAGATGTGGTGCCTGGCAAGATTCGTACTATCCACACCAACACGTTGTTGTTCTACAAGGATAATGATGCAATCAAGGATGACTGTGACAAAAAAGGAAGCGTGGGCGCTAATCATATTAAATGGATTAAGCAAGTCCTCGATGATTCTCGCAAGCAAGGCTACAGTGTTTACATCTTGTACGTCTCTGCTGCCATTCCCCCATGCCTTGTTACTCACTCATCTCACTCACCATAGAGCACACATTCCTCCAACAAGCAAAAAGGACAAGCCATACTACACATCTGCATGCACGGAAGAGTACTTTACTTTACTCGGCGAATACGAGGATGTCATTGCAGCCCACTTTGCAGGCCATTACAATAGTAAGTATCATATCGATGCTTGATGCTAAAGATCCAAATTTGCTCACACAACACAACACCTTGCTTAGATGACATTCTCAGTGCCATGGTTAAGAAGCATGGAAAATACGAACAAGTCAGCGCATTGGCCAAAAAGAAAAAGAAGAAACAATTCAAAAAGATGGATCTGGAGCATAGCAATTTCATTACGCCCCTCTTCAATACGCCATCCGTCATTCCCACTTTCAACCCAAGTATCCGTGTTTTCGAATATGACACGGAAGGCAAGGAGTAAGTACCAATGAGCCAACTTTGAGTTGAGGTTTCAGCCCTATTCAACAAACACGCATGTCTCATCATAGGTATCCTGTCGGAACAATCCGAGACTGGTGGCAGTATTATCTTGATCTCCAAGGCACCGATAACGGAAGATCTAAAGATGTGGAATATGAGCTCGAGTATCAAGCATCCGAACTCTTTAACGTTGATCATTTTGATGGAGCTGGTATCCAAAAAGTGTTTGGCCGTATGAAAGAGGATGAAGACTTGCATGAAGAATACATCGAGCATGCCACTGTTAGTACTAGCAAGGATAAGAAGAAGGATAAGAAGAAGCACAAGCATAAGGATGATGATGAAGATAATGATGACGACGATGATGATGAGGATGAGGAAGATGAAGATGAAGACGAAGATGAAGACGATGACGACGAAGACGAAGACTAGATAATTCATGGTTGGTGCTCACCTACGTAGACGATGCACATATCCTGTATACTTTTAACATCATCCTTTCACTGAAATTGTTCCTTATCCACGAGTAATAAATCACATGCATTGCTTTTATCCAACAATTTAATTTACAACAAAGGTGTTGATGCTTCTACCCTTTTAATGTACGGTATCTAATATTCATGTGCAACTGCTTTACAACTTTTCAGTCATCTCGGGGACAGCTTGGAACAAATCAGCCTCCAAACCATAATCAGCAACCTGGAAGATAGGGGCATCACCATCCTTGTTGATAGCAACGATGGTCTTGGAATCCTTCATACCAGCCAAGTGTTGAATGGCACCAGAGATACCAACAGCAATGTAAAGTTCTATGATATGACCCATAAGATCTCCAATCCAATCCTTCCATATGTAATACCATCACTTACCAGGGGCAACAATCTTGCCAGTTTGACCAACTTGGAGGGAGTTATCGACGAAACCAGCATCGACAGCAGCACGGGAAGCACCAACTAAAAAGATCCACCCTTATCAGTACATAATCCCTTTCCTCTTATCTGCATAATACAATACCTGCTGCACCCATCTTGTCAGCCAAATCGTACAACAACTTGAAGTTTTCACCATTCTTCATACCACGACCACCGCTAATGACACGGCTGGCAGTAGCAAGATCGGGACGATCACTCTTTTGGATTTCTTCACCGAGCCATTCAGTAAGGTTGGCCTTGGGGGCTTCAGGAGCAGCTTCAACGCTACCATTACCACCTTCAACAGCAGCAGCCTCAAAAGCAGTACCACGGACGGTGACAATCTTGATAGGATCGGAGGACTTTACGGTGGCAATGGCGTTACCAGCATAGATGGGGCGTACAAAAGTATCTTCACCTTCGACAGCAGTGATATCAGAGACAGGGGCCACATCAAGCAAAGCAGCGACACGAGGCATAACGTTCTTGCCAACAGCGGTATGGCCAGCAAACAAGTGAGTAAAGTTGTACTTTTTCTGGATCTCGGCAACAAGAGGAGCGATATCCTCGGGCAAGTTCTTGCTGTAGGCAGCATCGGCAGCGGTCAAGACCTTGTTGACACCAGCGCACTTGGCAACAGCTTGAGCAACAGCATCATCACCACCAGCAACCAAAGCGGTCACTTCACCACCAAGCTTGGATGCGGCTGTCAATGCATTCAAAGTAGCACCACTGATCTTGCCATCCTTGTGTTCAACCACCAACAATGTATTGGCACCGTTGGCACCAGTCGCATAGAAGCGAGAGAGCGTAGCAGCATGTCGGGTCTATATACATACATACACATAAACGCGTGGGAAAAACCGATAGTATCAGCATGGGCTATGACATGCAAAACCTCCTTCCTTCATTTCCTCCATTGCATTCCTCATGATACTCACCTTGAGAGCGATACGTGCAGAGTTGGCCAACATGGTTTAATGTGTCGAAATTGGAAAACAGAGAAAGAGGAAAGAGATAAAAAGAGAAGAAGGGGTACAAGATAGGCACAATCAATCCACCCCGCTCTTAGTCTTTGCCAGCCTCTAAGCTCCTGGCAGCCCGATGATTGGAAATCAACGTCACCTCACCCATTCCATTTTCACATGGTGTATCACTCTTTTCCCAAGGTGTATCTGACAGGGGTTGTTCTTGTTCCCAACCATTGGATCATGCTTATATAACATAGTCAACTTTTATTGACATGAAAATAGGATAATTGCCAATTCATAATGTAACTGAGATAATAATACAGCCCATGATTGAAGCAAGATCATAGATCTTTTGCTTTGCTGTCCATCGGGTGATCGGCCAATGAAATCTTTATGCTGATTAACCCAACTCTCGCGTGTCATCCCGAATGCTTCCTCACTCATCATTAGTAACAAATTGCCCACAGCTCCATGTCATTGTAGTTGGGTGTGATGATAATGATGTTGCTTGTTCCATATTCAATCGATGCAAGATCCCTTACTTTGCAAACACGGGTAGATGTTGCATTGATGCTTATTATTCAATCATCATAATAATGCCATCATCAGCCATCACAACCATTAACGTGTGGCATGGATATCGTCAATGAAATTATGAGGGTTTATGATCAGCATAAAAGGTCCAAAAATGATAATGAGCCAGGGCAGAAAACCTGGTGAATGTTTTTCCCCACGCTCTTCCGAGTGAGGCGACGTTCCGCCTGGTGGTTTCAAGGTTCCACAAACCCATGCATCACAATTTTCATGCACCACATCTAATCTTCATCATGTTGCTTAATGCTGTATAGCTATCAACATTATTGCACTATGTGTGTGTATACCTTTATGCATGATCAATGTGCCGGTCGCCCTATGAGATGGGGTATTCATGTTGTAGCATGCAAAAGATCAGCTTTTTGAGTAAAGGGAGGCGTGTACAGACGAGCCATTATGTCGTCAACAAGTAATACTGCATAATGAGGATGGCTTGACTTGTATGTAGTTGTAGCTCTTTGTGATTACCAATTCACATAGAAAATTAAGGATCATTATGAGATGACTTCAGGGTCAACGACCACAAAGATGGATGTTATTGAGTTAGTTAGCTGAAACTTTACCGCCCACTCTATCATAGTCGACAAGTGTAATGTAGTCTTGGACCTTTATCAGGCACTAGATTTCGAGTCAAAGTACATACGTTGTTTTTCAATTACTAGACGATTACTTAATGCCGCCGCAATTTCATTGTTCATCCACCTTCTTGTTATGGTGCTCGATAAACTTTGTCCATTCCAGTAACATCATCATATCATTGTGCAGCGCGAAACCAGCGTTCAGCAGCATGCGCTGTTATGAAAGTGATTAGCTAAACTTTTATTATAAATGAGAGTGAGATTACAATTGACTATTGCTAGTGTGTGGTCCTTTTACATCCCAAATGAGCTTCATTACCACCATCAACGCAACAAGCAAAGAAAGTTCACTTCAACATTCGCATGTTAATAAATGAAGCTGTGATGGATTATGTGTGCCAGGTTCTTTTGAATATTCCATAAGGTCTATTTGGGAGCGGTGTAAATGTGGAGGCACTGGTGGCAAGTATAGAATCTCCGAATCAGGCGCTAAAAGGAGCGAGAATGCATGCTTTTGTCTTTTTCTACGTCTTGTTTCCCTTTCCTTTTGATCAATGGTAAGTTTTCCTACTCCCAGGGTGATAGTAGGGCCATGGATTAACTCTCAACCTTATAGGGTAAACGAAAAGTGAAAAGAAAAGCTCCCAAGAAGCTCAAGGAGAAGCTGGACAGCCAATTCAACTGTTTATTCTGCAACCACGAAAAGGCTATTGAATGCAAAATGTAAGGAAGAGGGGAGATGACGGATTTCGACATTGGAATACGGTGGATCTTATAGTGCTTTTCCTTGTCTAGTGATCAATCGAACAAGGTCGGCCACTTGACTTGCAAGATCTGCGACGTGTCATGGCAATGCAATATTTCATGTACGGATCAACGAAAAGAAGGGGAGGGAAAGACGATATTGATGATATGGTATAGATCTTGACGAGCCTGTGGATGTATATGCAGCTTGGATTGATGCTTGTGAGGATGTGAACAAGAGTAAACGAGAAGCCAAAGCGAGAGAACGTGAGCGAGAACGTGAACGAGTTCGAGATCTTGGTGATGCGAATGATGAACCAGCAATACGAAGAGCAGCACCTGCAGCAGCACCTGTATCTACCTCCTCGGAACCTGTCTTTGCGAATGATGGCCTGGATCCATTTGATGATGACGACGAGGATGATGAAGACTATTAGGTTTTGCACGCTCCCCCCGTGACAATGTATCACCCATTTCTGTTTATCTATTCGCTTACATGTACATATCAAACTTTTTCTCCATTGATCTGGTTGTCATGAAAATATCTCTTTGTGTGTGTGCATGTGTGATGGTGGAAGTGAAAAGTGATGAGGGGTATCAACTACCAACTTATATGATACACGTGATCGCAACACCCGATGGCAACGCTTTGGTTGCTATGATGCACTAAAACACCAATGCTTTCGTCATCCCTTTTCCCATAACAACATCACTCTGGTACTCTCTTTTTTTTAAACATAGCTGTCAGAGACTTAAATACACCAACCAAATAAGTTGTTTCTTTTATAGCAAGTTTCATGAAATGGAAAGAAGCTCGTCGAGCGAGGATTTCAATTACATAGTGAATGTTTCGATTGCATGTAGGGATTGTGACACTTGCATGTTCGCAAAAGGCATAAAAGCCGGCCACGGACTTGATACATAAAAAAGAAAAAAGGTTGTTGTGCACCCTAACAAAGCGGTTAATTGGCATATTCTAAGTTGCTAAGAAGGCGAATCTTACCAATGGTCTGAAATGCAAATATGCCATCCAGCTTGTATTCTTGGATAGCCGATTGGGAGAATGGCGCCAGTGTGTACATAGAAGTACTGAAAGGATAATAATCGGTCGTCTTCGCCGCTTTGATTTCGCCGAAGTATGTGGGAAAGCCATGTTGATAATGAGCGCATGTGTCTACTACGTAGTCTGATCGTTCTTGCATGATTTTGTTTGCTTGTGCTGTTTGAGCTATTATATAGTGATGAGCTTAAGAAAGCTTTTCTGATGGATTGTGGTGGTACCTGTGCGCACTTTTTGAGGGGCTTTCAATTGCGAATGACCATTGCATCAATGGATGTACAAATGATGATGTGAGATGACCTTCTGACAATGGTTGTAAGTCGATGTCTTTCCATGAGGGAATCCTTGTTAGCAGTAGAGAAAATGAAAAAGATAAGAAATAGGAAATGCATGCCTGAAATCACTTACAGCGACTCTATGGCGCGAATGGCGTTTCGTTGTCTTCCTTGCGCACTTGCGATTATCGCCATTCCGGAATGACTAAAGGACAACGCCTGAGGATTGCAAAAATGCATGCACGTAATATATAATTACAACATGGATATCTTTTATAGACATGATGACGCTGATGTCATTTGTTTTTTCTTGAAAGATTATACGACCAAGGAAGCCGTTATGGCAACTCCATGCGGGCTGTAGTCAATTGTGCCACCTAATTCAAATTTTTGAAGATGTATCTTGAGGAGGTAGCTACATCAAAAGGGATGTGAGGCATGTGCACCACTAAGCGAGACGACTAGGTTTTACCTTAAAGAACTACCACAATGACAACAATGAAGATCAAACTAGGATAACAATGAAAGGCTAAAGATTATCACATATAAGTACATGATCGCTCACAAAGAGGGCTACCCGCCATGGCACTCACATCAACTTGGACTTTGGAGGCGTCAGCAATCAAAGAGTGACATGATGGAAAGAAAGAGATGTATTGGAGAAAAGCGGTGGGCGACAACATTCATCTTGTTTATATCTGCTTGGTGGGCGTGGGTAGTTCTGTGACCACAAACATGGAGAAAAGAGTGATAGAATGGCTTGTTGGGAATGGTGATGAGCTGATAAATGATTGGGGACCTTCACTAATGATATGGATGAGGAGCCTTGGTGTGATGCATAAATCAGGATTTGAGATGAACGAGGTGGTAACATCCATCATCCCGCAATGGCAATAATGACATTGATCTACTATCACAAACCACTTGCTGTGCTCTAACTCTTTGGAAAAGACATAGGAACGACTACACGTGATCACTCATCACCAATGGCAATGCATTGTTCAATGATTATTGCATCACCAATTTATTCGTAATCCCTTTTTCCCAGTCAACATTATCCCCTCACACTCGTTTAGACTTGAACATGTAATGGTAATTGTGGATGGAAATGGCTTGGAAGAATCGTAGAAAGGATGGTGGGTTGTCATGGCATCCAGCAAGGCCTAGGCGACGGTTGTCAATTCCAAATACGGCAGCCAATCAAAGGGGTGTGTGTTGTGTGTCTAAATTAAACCACGCGTCTTTGTGCCAGCTTACTGCACTTGTTTCTCCCCCTTTTTTCCTTCCTATCTATCCACAATGACCTACTTTGACACTTTGAAGCGTTCCTACACTGACGTCGACATCGCTGAGGGTATCAACACACAGCAGTTCCTCGAGGCAACCGAAGGCGTTGTCAAGCTTTTTGGTATGCTTTAAGCTCATCATGACCTTGAATGAGGAGACAACAAGTAGCTCATCAAATACCTCTTTTTATAGATTTGCTCGGCTCTACTGCCTTCTCTGTTGTCCAAAGTGACATGAACGGCAACATCAAGGTTTGACATTGTCATCTGTTGAAACCGTGTGGTCACGGAGGGAGCTGACTGGGATATGGAACATAGAAAATTCAAGATAGATTGCTCAAGGATCCTATCAACAGCAGCACTTTGGAAGGTTTGATGGCCGCTGAGGCACCCGAGAAGAAGCGTGTCGCCACTGAAGGTCTTTTGTGGTTGAGCCGGTAATGTATAAAAAAGTCATTGTCGTCGTTAGTGTGTGTGGCAAATCAACTCAATGATCGATGTCTCTAGTGGTCTCGATTTTACTGCTCAAGCACTCCGTCGTAGCATTGAGAACCCCGCTGAGGAGCTCAACGTATCATTCACCAAGGCCTATGAAGCTACTCTTAGAAAGCACCACAGCATGATGGTTCGACCTGTTTTTTCGGTAAGGAGAGAAAAGGATAGAGGAGGAGGATGGGAGGGGGGAAGGGTCATCGAAGAGGTACTGATGGCAATTATGTAGCTTGCCATGAAGGCCTGCCCTTACCGCAAGGACTTTTATGAAAAGATCGGTGCTGTGACAGATGCCGCTCTCGAGCTCATGAAGAGTTGGTTGGCTGCTTTAGAAAATATCATTGCCAAGATCAATGCTGTGTTCGCTGCTCATCCCGAGTACATCAAGGGCATGTAAATAATGATTCTTTCGTTTCCCTTTTCTTTATTATCGTCGTTTTGCTTTTATAAAATTGAAGGAATATGGTTTCCAATCAAGCAAGGTACATCCTCAAGGGATTTGGATAGGGAAGATGGGCTTTATTAGCGTGTTGTATAATCAAATACTTGGAGGGTGGATGAGGGCCTAAAATGGGTCATTGATCATGTTACAGTACAGGATAGAACATGCTGTGTAACGTTAACTATATACATCGTGTCTTCCGAAACGCGACGTGAGGTACAAGCTGCAGTCTTCTTCCTTGCACGAAATGTCATTCTCCATTGCACCTGGCAAGACTTCCAAGTCGAAACCACTTCCTCCTGCGCTGTATCCTATTCGTGGCTTCCTGCATTTGGCCAACCATCCACGAGCTATCGGCGGTCCCATTTTGACTTCGGCCATCAAAGCAAGCGTGTTGAGTATTCTCGTCATCGCCCCACTCGTAAAGTATGGCTTTGCTCCTCACTCGCGTCTCTTATCGAAGCTGTTCCAGGAACTGAAACCTGAAGGCAAACTCAACTGGCTTGTGGGAACTGGGTCTGCAGCTACTGCCAGTATCTTTATGCTCGTAGAAGCATTTGCTGTCATGGGTGCTGCCAACGAGCACTTTGTTGGATCAGTCAAGGATCGATTCTTTGACGCTATTCTTCAAGAACGTGATGGATTGCCACCCAAGAAGGACAAGAAGAAGAATGATGGTGGTGATGAGAAGGAGTCTATCAATATTCCAAGTGCTCAAGAGGTCGTGAATTCTTTGAATGTCGCTGTTGATGAAGCCAAAAAGAGCGTGAATGATGCCATGGATGATGCCAAGAAGAATATGCCTCAAACGCTTGAAGAAGTCCAGGTCAAGGCCCATCACTTTTTATCCCCTGTCAACATCATGGCACTCAACGCCCAAAACGACAATTCATGGGGCATGTTCTTCCTCAGACCCACTTTGTTCATCGTCACGCTTCCACTCAATCTTATCCCTTTTGTCGGTCCATTCACCTTTGTCAACATCCAAGCATTGCAAAAGGGTGGTGCTACCCACAAGCGATACTTTGATCTTTACAATTGGTCTCCCAAACGTCGACAAAAGCGCATCGAGCAAGGTTTTTGGCAATATCAGCAATTTGGATTGGTGGCTACAGCATTGGAAATGATCCCATTTGCAGGCTTTGTGTTTTCTTACACCAACCACATCGGGTAAGTACATATGGGTGGAGACATGCATATGCAACAACAACTCATTGACATGTTGATTTCATTGACTAGTGCTGCTATGTGGCTCATGGATCTCAAGGAAAGTAACACTTTGGAGAGTGGCAAGTTTTTCAAGATCTTCTAGTTGCATCATCATCTTTTGCTTGTGAATGTAAATATATCTTTATAATACAATATTGGAAAAAGGAAATCAAAGGTGTATATGGAGGGTTGATTCTATCGCGATTGTATGGTACAAAAAGGGGCATCGAGACAAAGAAAATGGGAGGCGAATTATTATATCGATTACCACTTGCTGCGTTCCCAGCGGCTATCGTACTTTTGATTCAAAGCCATAAGCTTGACTTGTTCTCCAGCCTTGATTTCTTGCCATGGGTAAGGGTTATGCTTGTGGTCCCAGCAGACATCAGGAGCACGGGATTGTTTGACAGTCATAAAGACGGCACCTCCAAGGGCAGTACCAAGAATGGCAATCAAAGGAGCAACTTCAGGCTTGAAGATGGATTTTCTGAAAAAGTGGCCGACAGTGTTATGCATTGTTGTTGTGTATGTATGATTTGATAATGAATATTGTTTTCTCACCAGATATTCTTGCTTATATACTACTTACATCCATGGAAAGTAAATATCGAACGACTGTTTCAAAAAGAAAAAAACGAATCACACCACCTTGTGGGCTGACAATTTTCATTTTCCATCGTTCCATATCCGTGCGTGCTCCCAAATCAACCAACCACAGCCCATCCCGCAGGTGAGGCTCAGCTTGATCCATGCTCACCACACACACACATACACACGCACATCTTCATATTCGGGTTGAACCAGTTCTTGGTCCATGGACGACTTTACTTTATTCCGATAAGAATCATGCCACCCTTTTCAAGATAACCTCTGAACGCATACACAACTTTTTCTTTTCCATACATGGAATATGGCGATGTTCCATAAGAAAGTTTCATCTGATTCTGGATAACGACCCAAAGTGAGTCAAGGACGTCTTGGTGTTTTCTTTTTTTTTTTTTCACAATAGCCATGAAGGCATCCCACATACACCCGAATAAAATCCATATCTTGATTGTCCAATAATCATGAGCGTAACAAATCTTGGCGTATGTAGGCTGCCACGCTGCTTTAATATCAGAGTTTGTGCTAAGAGCACATCCATAATAGAGTACATGCTAGCTTTTTATACATACGCTCTATCAAAACATAAAGTTGTTATCCTTTGCTCATCATATGACATGTCAATGTGCTTATCACCAAGAGATTCATGTCATTAGTACACGCCATTTGTTGCGAACGGCGTGCTCAATTTGGATGTCTCACATTGCATGATTCATCATTGACAGCGTAGTTGAGGAGCATGGGTCTTTAATGATTGAGCTTAAGGAGGCAATGCAATAAGGGATCAATCAGCTTGTAAAGCGTAGTGCATCAAGCCAACACGTTTCCAGACATGGTTAGAATGGGTCCTTTTTGCATTAATTGTGGTGGACATCAAAGATGAAGAATGTGCTATGTATGCTTTCTCCACTAGTGCGTCGTCGCGCTGTGTTGGTGGCAAGATGTTTTTTTAATATCGCATGTCTTATGAAAGATGATGTGATCCCAATGAAAGTAGGTGCGTCACTCTAGAATATGAATGAAACCCTGGGGATGGCATTATCAAGCACATGATATCACGGGTAATGAACAATGGTTTTAATGGCACGTGGATAAGATTTTGTGATCATGGTACACAAAGAGCATTTCAGAGTTGTTGTGTAATACAAAGAATAGTGTGAAAAAGAGAGAGCGAGCGAGCGTGTATGTGATGGATTGCAATCCTCCCTTAAAGATGAGGAGAACCCACGTTTCGTTTTTGGGTGAGATGCATACTCCTAAGAGAAAGAAGCAGAGAGAGCATATGTCAAGGGCCAGATGTTTATATGTACGCATATAGGTTTTAATGCTCTCATATCCTAATCCAAATAGAGAGGAGGCGGAGAATGGGCCAGAATCAACCAATGTCTGCTCGACGACGTTGAACCAACAAAAGTAGATTTTTTCGCTTGGGTCGTGTCAAAAGGAGAGAGGCACATACAACACACACATAACACACACACACACATACACACATACACAGCCTTTTCTTTACTTCCTCTACGGAACAGATACCACGCACTTCACAAGGTAATTGTCCATACAAGACAATGCCACCGATCTCTGGTTTATTCTTCAATGCGATCAATCTCTCTTTATGTCACTCTGTCTTTGAACAGCTCCCCATTGACTCTTTTATTGCAACCAACTACACCCATTTGATCGTATTGTGGAATTGCTAGTGAAGGAGGCTAGTCATTGGAGGGAATGGAGAGTGGGTGAGGGGGGTGAATCGAAATCGTGAATGGGCTTGTGTATAGTGTTTCCAAGGTGGGGGATATGTCTATATACATGTTCTACTGACCCGACTGCTGTACACACACGCACATTTACAATATCTCCGTCATTTCTCTCACACGTACCCTTTTCTCTCCCCCATTTTTCTTATACAGGCCAGCCATCCAACCCAAGCGTTCTATCTATCTACTTACAAGTGTATCAGGCTCTCCTAACAACCCCACCATTCATACTATCACCGCTACCACTACTACGACTATCACAACTCCTTGACCACGACGGCCGTTTCAGCTAGGATTTCTTTTCCTTTATGGCCGCGGATATCTCGGATAAGGCTATCGGCCCAACAACGGAAAAGCTTTCAAGTACCACCCCAAATGGTGATGATGGCTCGGTAAGTAAAATTGCTGGTTTTTGGGGGGTGGGAGGAAAAGAGTAGAATGAATTCTCTTGTTGGGGGTCATATTACAACATTGTGTGGCAAACTAGCTTACCACAACGAGAGGGGCCTTTTTTTAGGGGGATGGAATGACTCGGACTTTACGGATGCATGCGGAACACGATAGGCAGCAACGACTCGAGTATGTTTTATACATCATCAACAACCCACATGACAATGAAACTTATATATATATACACACAACAACTACCTATAGTTGCCTTACTCAGCATCGCGATCGATTACTTCGGGAATTATTCATCTTATCCAATCAACACACCAACGATGACCAATTCCTTGCGTTCATGGAAAATGGAGAAAAGCTCGACAATGAAAAGTTGAATCTTTTTCTTGAACAACACAAGCCGTAAGTCATCCATCAGCAGCCATAATAGACAACATTCATCCTCATACATAGACATGTACATAGTGCGACAACCAATGATCAAGTATCATCCGCCGACAAACAACGAATGGCAAGACGTGTACCTCCTCCACCAGAACGCATGGTTACTCGTGGTGTCAGTGGTGCTATTCGTCATCGGAGCGTTGGTGAGATTTTATCAGGCTTGGATGTAAGTGCATATCCATCATCCCCCGATTAGGATGCTAATGTCATATTACAGCACAATGGATCTCGCAAGGAAAAGAGAAGTAGTGGTGGTGATGCTTCAGGCTTGATGATAAAGGCACGACGACCAGCACAACAACAACGAGCTCTCGCTTTGGCAGTATCACGACGACCTGATTCACGCAATTATCCACCACAAACCTACAATGGCGTCAAATTGCATGATTTATCATCGGAGAAAGAGGCACGCTTGGATCTCTTTGCATGGCAACTTCATGCGAATGCACATCCATTACACAAAGCAGTCCAAACAGCGCGTAAAACGGTTACATCACATGATTGGATGGTAAGAATGCATTCAACGACTCTTTTTACATGGATGCTGATATGAGTGCATAATAGCTTGCATGGGATGAGCTTCGATCGATCGAGACAGTGCAAAAGATTGAAGAGCTGAAAAAGAAAAACAAGTGGAGTTTGAGACAACTCAAGCGTCACAAGACCTTGCCTCGATCCAAGACGCATTGGGATATTATGTTGGATGAAATGGTGCGATATGGGGATGGGTTGGGATCATTTGGGTGTGCATGTGCCGTGTTTTCTTGTGTGCGTGTGTGTGCTGATATATATCTTGTTTGTTAGAAATGGATGCGTACCGATTTTAAAGAAGAACGCAAATGGAAAGTGGCAATGGCATATACCATTTCAAGGGCTGTGATGGATTGGCATTGGGCTGAGGACAAGTCAACTGTTTGTGTGAAAACGCGTCGTCCACCACCACCATTACAACATGATCAACAAGACGAAACGTTGAATTTATTCGATCGTGCACCATCCCCTGATATGAGTGATTTAGTCGATGCCAACGTATCAAAGATGAATATCGAACCATCACAACCTACGCTACCTACACCACCACAACAACAATCAACAACCTCTGAAAATGATCCTATGGCTGTTGAACCATCATCACTTCCGCAACCCATCATCCAAGCTTATCGTACAGCCATTCGCGACCTTGATCCCAACATTCCTGTTTACACGCTTCCTATCGAAGATCTCGGTTGCTTTGACATTCACACCCTGTTTCCCGATTTACTCGCCTATGAACCTCCCAACATTGGCTGCGATGATCCTTACTTTAATGAGCTCGAATATGGTCGCATCACTGGAATTTCTCAGCTTTCTACTCGAAGGATCGTTATCAAAAAACCAACTCCACCGCTCAGCAGAAAACGCAATATCGATGGTGAGCAGATTGCAATGCCAGAGGATAAGGTTGAACCAGCTTCGTTATTACCACGACATGAACGCTATGATCAATCATTTTTGGTTTCAGGTGAGTGTGCTTTTTTTGGGAGTGTGTATAGGTTGTAGGATGTATGCTCACGCATAGGTATGTTTTTTTCATAGAACTTTTTGCACCACGAAAGATACGAGATACACCAGCAGTACAACCACGAGCACCACCACAACCTGGATCACCACGTCAATCATCCGGCTGGACTGAAGAAGATGATTTGTGCCTTATCAATCAGATCATGCAATTCGGATTCAATTGGGAGCTTATCACCGATACATTTAATGCCGCACGAACTCCCTTTACTGGTGTGACACGATCATCATGGGAATGTCATGAACGATGGAAACAAAATAACCTCACCACATTATCGGGCCAAGTTTCATCAGCACAATTATCAAAGCTTAAGAAGGATGCGAACAGGAAATCTCATCGCCGATTCGACAATGCAAAGAGAAGACAACGGCAATATACTGTATTCGAAGCCATCAAGCAAAGTCAAAAGAAACGTGAAGAGGCACAACGGAGTACGAGTAAGTGTTTTATCTCGAGTATCAATGGAGCCCTTTTTTTTACTCATTGCATTATTATAGCCAACGCACCCGCTCCTCGAAGTACTATTGAGACTCATGGCATGAATTCAAGTGGCCAACGACTTCCATCTGCAATGGAAATGAGTGTACACAAGACACAGCGTGATCGACAAGTAGCACAAATGATCCTAGAGCAACGGCAATTGACTGCAGCTTATGGATTAGGAGGAATACCGGTAAGTATCGTGTTCTCTCTCGATGAATGGATTGTGTTTAATGAATGGGGGTATTTTTTAGGGATTAGCACGTCCTGCACGACCGCCACAAGTACAGCAGCCGGTTAATCGGGCATCAACACCTCAAGCACCTGCAGCTGCTGTTCCTGCTGCTACACCTACCGCTACTAATGCAGCATCAGCTACGCCTCGACCACCACAAATGGCATCTCCAGCAGGTGCTGCACAAGTAAATGGTGTGCCTCAGCTCAATAGATACCCCAGTGCTGCACAATTACAACTCTTGCGACAACAACAAATGATCATGGCTGTTGCACAGGCTCAGGCTCAAGCACAAGCACAAGCACAGGCCCAAGCACAAGCACAAAATGGTGCAGCAGCTGCCAATGGAACACCTGTACAACGATTTCCTCAACAATCAGGTAAAGTAATTGGATCTCTATATATACATTTAGCAGATACACTAACAGCACCTCATTATATAGCACCACCAACAGCCACAGCAGCAGCAGCAGCATCTCCTCAAACCAATGCATCACCTAACAATGCAAATGTCAATATGCAAATGAATCCTTTACTTGTTGCACAACGATTAATGCAAATGGGTTATCCAATGCAGCAATTGCCTCCCGCACAACAAGCACAATTACAGCGATACTTTGCTCAATTACGACCACCGCCTCATGGTGCAACTGCTACGGCTGCCACTGCTGCTAATACAGCTCAACAATCACCTGCACCTGCTGTTCCTCAAGTATCGGCTGGTTCATCCCCAGCAGCAACACCATCCCTTGTGCCAAGCCCAACTCCCGCTCGTAATGTCCCATCTCCCCAACAACTTGCTGCTGCTATGGCTGCCAACAATAATAACAACAACGCCAATCTCTCAGCGGCATTACTTGCAGCTCAACAGCAACAATTCCAAAGACTTCAGCTACAGCATCTACTTCAAATGCAACAAGCTGCAGCTCAACAACAGCAACAACAACAACAGCAGCAGCAGCAGCAACAGCAGCAACCTGTGCCTCAGCAACAACCACCACAACAACAACATCAACAACCATCATCCGAAAATACACGATCACAGGAATAACAACAACACGCATCTCCCTCCACTCACACACACACACACACATAACATTGTATAGCTTTCTCTCTTCCTCCATATATTCACCCCATCTATACATATATCTACCATTCACTCTCTCTCTCTCTCTCTCTCTCCCCTAAAAAAGTCGAGAACCAAAAATGTAGCTTTTCATTTGCCATTGTACAGAAAAAGAATACTTGTAGCATGATCTCTTTCACGTGTCACGAATTGTACGTGCGTGTGTTCCCATTTACAATTTCATATCGCTCCATATACTTTTATTACTTGTTCTCTATACCACGCCATCCTCTCCTTTTTATATATCCATGACTACTACAACTACAAGGGAAGCACCTTCTCCTCCACTCGTTCATTCGGTTTTCCGCCTCGGCTTTCGTTTTGTAGCCCACCTCTTTTTCCGTGAAATACAAACAACCGGCACTCATCTTGTCCCTGTCTCCGATCCTTGCATCTTCATTGTGGGGCCCCATGCCAACCAATTCGTCGATGGGCTCTGCTACATCAGCCGCAATCCTCGTCATTCGTATGCCCTCATGGCATCGGTGTCCTACGATCGGCCCTTGATTGGTCATATCGGCAAGATACTAAGTGCAAGTAAGTAGTCAAGCATTTCTTGGGTGCCTGAATTTGTGGGGTACATAGTCTGACAGACATAATTACACCGCTTTCACTAGTTCCCGTGGTTCGACCGCAAGACATTGTTCATTTGGGTCAAGGAAGTCTCGTGTACAACCCCAACAAAGAACCACTTGTGCTTTATGGTCATGGTACTCGATTCACTGAACAATTGGGCCCACGCGATTTCATTATCTTTGGACGCAACTACAAAGGCCATGTGGCACGCATTGTATCCGACACTGTATTGGAAATCACGCATGCTATCCCTCACGCTGAAGCTGGCACCTACTCATTCAAGATCGCTCCTCATGTGGATCAAACAGCTGTTTATGAAGAAGTCCATGCTTATCTCAACAATCATGAATGCATCACCGTATTCCCTGAAGGAGGTAGTCATGATCGTCCTGAAATGTTGCCACTCAAAGGTATCTTTTTCTTTATGCATGTGTTGTCCCCCTTTTTACTAATCTCGTTTATCAAAGCTGGCTTTGCTGTGATGGCATTGGGTGCCCTTGCTGAGAACCCAACATTACCATTGAAGATTGTCCCTGTTGGCATGAACTATTTTCACCCGGATCGTTTTCGCTCACGTGCCGTTGTATCATTTGGACAACCTATGACCATTGATCCAGAAGAGGTTGAGAAATTCAAACGTGGTGGCAAAGAGAGGCGAGAGGCAGTGACCAGGCTATTGGATCGTAGCGATGAGGCTTTTCGTACCGTCACCACCAATGCACCTGATTTTGATACACTCATGATCATCCATGCTGCACGCCGCTTGTATCAAAATCGCAAATTGTCTATTCAGCAAACAGTCAAACTCAATTGCCACTTTGTATCTGGATGGACAAAGCTCAAGGAGGATCCAAAACTCGAGAACCTTGCTCGCAAAGTCAAGTTGTATAATGAAACGCTGGCATTCTTTGGTATTCGTGATCATCAAGTGCAACGATTGGATATCACCCCTGTACGTGCATCCATGCTGCTCATCAAGCGATTATGTACATTGGCTCTGCTAGGTGGTCTAGGCGCTCCTGCGTAAGTAGTATGATCTTTTGGGAAAGAAGGATGATGAAGGATACTCATACCAACAACATGGATGATAGATTCATTTCCAACCTGCCATTGATTTGGGCTATTGATTATATCAGCAAAAAGAAGCAAAGAGGTAATACAGGATATGAGGAGAGGAAGTATAAGAGGTATACTAATAGGATGATGATATAGAGGCATTGGCAGGATCCATGGTCAAAATTGCTGGCAAGGATGTATTGGCAACATGGAAAATCATTGTGGCCGGCATTGCAGCACCCATGTTATATGGTCTTTACGCATTGGTCTATTTGCGTCACCTTATCAAACGACGACCTGACCTTTCCACCATCCATAAATTGATCAGGGCATGCATGGCATGGGCTGTACAACCCATTTTGTACTATGTGCTATTGCGTTTGGGTGACACTGGCTTGGACATTTACAAGTGAGTATCCTCGACGGGGGATGACACGTGACCGGATCACTTACATCATTATCATTACGCCTTCATTAGATCCATCAAACCACTCTTTTTGGCCGTACGTAATCCCGATGTTGGCAAATTACTCAAGACCATGCGTAAAGACTTGTCCAAAGATGTCACCGCCTTTGTTCACGAGCACAGCACGATCTTTTTACCCGATGAGCCCTTTTTGAAACAAGACGATACCTCGATACCATCCTCCTCATCCTCTTCATCCACCTCCTCTTCTTCAGGTATGTAAAAAGCATGATGTTGAAAACGACAATGTCATACTGATACAGGTATACTACAAGTTAGCCTCCAGCAGCAAGAATATCTTCCGCTTCAGTAAATTGCTAGAAACAGCATCGCCATAGACGCATCACATTATAGCCATTATTAGAAATCTGTGCACTCTTTTTTATATGCTTTATATTATTATTCGTTGACAACAGTAAAGATGCCCATGGGGCCTACTTGATCCTCCACACGGATTGATTCGAGACCAGAAAACAGATAATGTTTGCCACGACTCGTGCGAATGACGTACTATGGGCATATATCAGCATGATTGCAACATGATGCAAAGGATTGCATATACATACTTCATCTGCATTAATTTGCTCCAGTTGTAAATCTATCGGTGTGCCACCCATGTTGTATTTGACAGGGCCCTTGTTTGTCACCAGCTGATGTTGTTTGCCCGTGTCAAAGACAGTGCCCTTGGAAGCCAAATCACTGGGTGGTCGGCTCAAGTCATAGTTGTGATCAGCTTGGATTTGATTATCATCGTCGACATAGAGATATCGACCCCCGTGGTTAGCAACTACAAAAAAAAAGCGCATACACATTGATGAGTTTGCATATGCATATCACCGACATCGACCCACCTACCTACTTTTGAATGGCATTGTTACACAGCCGAATGCTTTGTGGATATAGTAGGTAGAGAAAAGACAAGGACCAAAACCATTCCAAAAGCGATCTTTATATCTCGACAGGGGTGATCTGGATTGGGAAAGCCTGTCTCTCTCACCCTCACCACGTTTAATACAAACCCAGATGCGGTTCTGTCATCATGTAATAATTGGATCATTGCTGCTCACACAACGCAAAGTGGTATTTGGTAGCGTGACAATGGCAAATATCTTTGTATAATGTACATGTGCATATGGGCGCAACAAATGACAGATGACCGGAAAAGACATCATGATAGCAACTTGATGTCATTGTTTTAGTGGTTGATTATTGGCAGCCACCCTAAAGTTATGTACCGATTCATGCATGAACACCTAGGCTCTTTGGTGGCGAGCAATCCTGGTGTAGTAGATGCCTTTTTATCGATCCATTGATTCTATCCACCATCAGCTCAAGTAAGTATGCTATCACCTATGATGTCACTTATTCATTACTAGTGTGAGTATCATGGTTGATAGGCCTTTTGTGAGCAATCCATGTGATGATCTTTAGAGTGCTTTCATTGTCATTGTGATGTGACTCTTCATGAAAGATTAAGAATACCATCGCCCCAACACGAAGCACATCTCCACTCTCCCTTTTGTTTTTCATCCATACACGTAGTCATGGTCACTGTTGGCATGGATACAATTGTTGCCAGTGGATTCGTTAACATAAAACGCCATGTGCTATTTTAAGGATTGTATTATCTTACTATATGTACCCAACTCCCAGCGCCCAAAAGCGTTACAATGTCTCCCCCTCTTATCCTGCACCCATTTGTACAGCTCCTTATAATGGCTTTCAGAATAAATAAGCTCTCTTTCCTACATGCTGCATCTAAATCACCACACTTTTGGAGGCAAACCACAACCCACAAATAGGAAAACGCAAATGAGATTGAAAGAAAAAGATATACAAAGGATACTAAAGAGACAACATGTTATAAACCTATGCTAAGGTGAGATGGATGATAATGAGGGGGCGATAGTACACAAGAAGAAGATGGATCATTTTTAGTTGGTGGCGGTGGTAGTAGTGGGAACAGGTGTTGCTGCTGTTGGTGCCTTGCTCTTATTGATGGATGTCATAGCTTGACCATATAACTCCTTAGCTTTGACCATGGCTACCGATCCGTATTGTTTGGTCAGCTGTTGGGCGCGTTTAGCTTGTTCTGCGACATGGCGATCAATGACCTCCTTATTTTGAGTGTAGAGGCGTGGTAAGGTGAATGCGCCCACAATAAACACACCGACCATGTACTTTGTGGGAATGTAGGCACCAAGGGTCCATACGAGATAGGCAATGCCTGCCGCCCAAGCCGAACGTGCGCTGTCCTCGATCAACATTAAGCGAGTGATTTGCTGTACAATAGCTTCCAACACATCCACCGTACGTTGAGCAGCACGCTCCACACGATCACGAGGAATTGAAATACCCTGTACGAAACGATCCCTATCATCCACCCATGAGTACATCGGCTATGAGAAAAAAACGAGAGAGAAAGAGAGCTTACGTGTGTGGGTGACTACCAAGCACAAACTTTTGAGCATTCACGTGGCACCAGTTAAGAGCAGTCAAGATTGTAAATCCTGCAGCAGCCAGTTGTAACAAAGAGTAATACTGCGTCAAGATCAACACGGTCATCAAAGACGCGAAAAGAGCTGCACTTCGTACGGGTTGTTCCCAAAACAACATCGCGTGGACCCATCCGCTCACATATTGTGCAGTGCCCACTATACATTAAAGAGCATTGTACATATCAATCATGCTGCCACCACCAGTGGAACACAAAAGGAATTTGCTTACCTTCTTGTTGAACAGGTGGCTTTTGCTTTTGTTCTTGCGATGTGGGCTTGAAGTCATTGCTGGTGGTGGTGGTCTTACCATTGTGCTGGGTTGCATTGTTGCTGTTACCATTCACTAAAAAAAGAGGTACCCGTGTCATCCTTTGGTACGGGATTCTTCTTGTCGCCACCACCTATTATGTACTTACGGTATCCATTGTTGTTGCTATTAGGAGCAAGGGAAGGCGCAGCAGCGCTCATAGTAGCGTCCATATTGGCAAGGTTGTGTGCTGGTTTAACAACTTGAGTCATTGTGTTGCGTGAAAGGGAATAAAAAAGTGAAAGAGAAGGAGAAACTGGATAAAAAGGATCGTGTCTTTTTTGTGTATGTGTGTGTGTGCATACCATGCATCAAATGTTTCATTTATTGGGCCTGTCATATGATCACTTCCGAGTATGTCCCGTTGTTGATGCTGCTGCTGCTGCTGCTGCTGCCGCCTCATCATTTTCCTTTTGCTCTTCCTCCTTGAACAATAATCGAATGGCATCCGTAAACTTGGGTAAAATGGGAATCTGCTTGATGGCCACCGACATCATATCAAAGCTGAAACACACGTTTTGTTGCTCTTTGGAAAGGAGAGGGAGCTTTGGATAGCGTTGGCTGAAATGGTTGAGGAGCGTGTACTTTGCATTCATGCTATAACAACATGGTCAGCGCCACATACACACACACACACACACACACAATGACGACACACAAGGGGTGATATAGGAGAGATTGAATTCAAACTTACCGCTGACCAACAGAAACAGCTTCTTGTGTCGTAGAGTGTCGCTTGGCAATAGCCTCTGCCATCATACCATCTTCCAACGTGGCTTCATGAACAAGGAGTGTCGCGTTTTGGCCAGCTTCAATGAGATTGTCGCAAGGTCGTGTGTCACCTGAGTAACTATTGAAATAGCCAACATTGTCAATTGTTTGTTGTGTACACATACACACACCCTCTCTTGTTGTCCCCTTATTCTTACACAAGCTTCCATCCAGAGTCATGCTCTATGTTCAGACCATATGCAAATCTGCAATGGATCACATTCACCGCTTGCATCACCTTCATGCCTAGATCCCTTTTCAGCTCCTTGAATCTAACATAGTAACTAATGTCAGCAATGCGTCTTTAAAATGAACCAGTGGCAAAACGTACAATGAAAGATCAAATCCCGTTGGCGCATTGTTGGTGAGGATACTCTCGTTTCTAATGGCGAAAACTTGCTTTCCGAAACCAAAGGACTGCACGCAGCTGTATTCATTCAACCAATGTTTGAAGATAAAAGGTGCCACCACATATAGCCGCTTATTGTTGCCCTTGTTGAGCTATATTCAAATTGAGCTGCTTGTGCCAAGGCTGCAGGGATGAACAATGCTTACCTCCCACCATTTAGTCAACAAATGAATCACACCAAGATGATGATCAGCGTGGAGATGTGACACAAAGATACACCGCAAATTCTTCAATTCATCATCCAACTTGTCGTCTCCAAATCGTCGCATCATTTGTCCATAGGTGCCTTCACCAGCATCCAACATGATGGATCCTTGATCGCCAGGTAACTTGACCATAGTCGCGCTCACTAGTGAGAGTTTTAAAGTTAGCTCATGCGATATTAACCACACATCTTACTTACCGTTTCGGTATTTGGAAGGAATAGAGCTACCAGTGCCCAATGTAATCACTTGAACATCCTCGCCGGCAAACTTTTCACTGATATCCACAGCAGCTGCCTCTCGTTTGGCTCTGGCAATAGCACCCATCACCTCCGGGTTCCTTTGAATCCAATTGGTGGCCCGTGGTTTAGTGTGATCAAAAACAGGTTGCTGCAAGGAGGCGGTCTCGACGCCCATTCGTGGCTCTAAACTCAATTGTCCCATGCTGGAAAATGCAAAAGATTTGGGCGGCAAGTCCGTGTCTATCAACATGCATGAATGAATGAATGAATGAACATACTACCCTTTTTGCTTTACTTACAATCCTCCAACTTTTTACGAGGTGTGTTGCTGTATTTTGGCACAGGGAAAATCTCTTGATCCAAATGCGAAAGCTTAAACTGACCAAAAGCATGTGACTCGTACAACACGGATTGGGCGCATATATCGGTTGTGCTTATAACATGCTACAATTAAGGATTTACAGTTAGCCGTTATCTCTGTGCCCTTACCCCTTATCGCCCATCACACAAACACACACACACACTCTGTCCCTTACCTGCGTGTCTGATCCAAACTTGTTCATCCATGCACGATATCGTGGGTCATCCAAAACATCTTGGCCTACTATGTGGATGATGGCACCTGGCTTATCGGTTGTCTGGTATTGTGCAAACTCGGGCGATGATATCAAATTATCCAAATAGCGAACGCTAGGACAATCCACCAACATAAACAACTAGAAAAGAAATAAACCATATCAGTCTTTGTGTGTTTCTCCTCCGCATGATAAATAAACAAGACACATACATGGCCTGGAACAGGTGGGTCCATCACTTGGTTTGGTTCAATGACACGTCCATCCTCAAGCGTCACTGTTTGACCTCGTTGCAAACGACCTAGATACCATTCTCCACATTAGCCCATGATCCCAAAGTATCATCCTTCATACAACTTTACCATAAATAGGACCTGGTGGGATGCCCAATGCCATTGCAGCATCCTTTTTGAATTTACCAGGCAACGTTGGGCCACGACAAATGTAGGTAACGGCGGCAGGATATTCATAGGCGGGAGGCAATCTAGCGCGGATACGTTCAAAGGATCGTTGTGGTTGTTGTACAGTTGAAGATGCTGATATCTCGGTATCCTCAATCACAATCTCATCAGGGTTGTTTCTTGGTGAACAAGGTGCTTCGATAGTATGAGCTGGTGGTCGTGATGATTTCTTTTTGTTCTTTTTGTTGTTGTTATTGTTGTTGTTGTTATTGTTGTTGTTGTTATTGTTGTTGTTGTTATTGTTGTTGTTGTTATTGTTGTTGCTGTTGTTGTTGCTTGGAAGTTCAAACATGCTGTTGAGGATGTCACGTCGTGCAGCCAAATCCTGTTCCTCAGTAGTGATAGCAACCTCGTCATCGGCAGCTTCAGAACGTCGTCGTTTGATACCAGGCTTCATGTAGTCGTCAGGAAGAATCACGATCGGTGTTACTGTTAATGGACCCTTGTGTTTGGGTGGAGATGCTTCACCATATTCCTCGGTCTGTACTGAAAGGGATGACCTGGATCAACATGGATGGAGTCAATATCAATCAATCACGTGAATGACACCTTTTTCTCTTTATGTTACCGGTAAATGAAATGTCGCGTGGATGCCATGAAATGGGTAAGGTTCTTTGGGCCATGAATCGTCAGGTCCTTGACACCACCATCAGCCACAGTCAGCAACATGCCTATTGTTGTTTATGCATTAGAGTATGTATGATCCCTCGTTTATGCAGCCTTATTCCTTCATACCTGGTAGACCTCCAACGCAATCCCATGTAACCCGTGTCATGTAAATGTCCTTGAGTTTGGCCCATTTGACCTTTTCCTCGACGCATAAACGTTGTGTTCCTTCTCGACAATTGAACATGTAGCGCTGGGAATCGTAGTGGACCATAATGGTGGGGGGTCCTTCGGGTGAAGAATGGCCGAGGAATTGAATGTATGCCTTCATGGTGCGTCGAGTGACAAAGTTGTAGAGTTGGGGTCTATGGAAAAACGATTGTGTGCGGGTGAAAGAGAACAGTGCCAAAGGCGGCATAACCTGAACGATGATGCATGCTTGCTCACTTTTTTCCCCTCTCATATTCCATGCGTCGTCCTTTCAAAGCCACCTCCACCTTCACAGTCCATCCACCCCCCATCCCATCCCATCTTATCCACCTATAAAGATGTGAAACCTATCCGCACAGCTTCCACTACCATAATGAAACTTTTTAAAGGTATTACATACTTGTGAATGTATTATTACATGTACATCATCCTTGATTATGAAAAAGGAGGAGTTGCCATGTTGTCGAATATCCACAGCTCATTCATGTAATTGTCTACACGTATCCCAATGACAGTACAGCATCATCATGTAAAGGATGGACCCTGGATTGGAAAGAAGGAAAATAGAGTTGAGCAAGCAACGAGTTGCTATGCAACATGACGCACGTGGCAATGCCATTGATCATGTGAGATGTGATATCGTGGCAAATGCGCGAATGTGTGTGTGTAGGTGATCTAAAGTGTCTTTGATGTTGTTGAATATCCGAAAGACGCTGCACGTTATTAGAGTCAATCAGGAGCAATTACCAGCAGAATGCTAAGTCGGATGAGTCAAGGAACAATGATGCGCCACGATGCAGCATGACCGATATGGAAGGTTGACGACGCCTACTCTTTTGGTATGCAACGGAGCTGAACACAGCCGAGTTACCCCCCTCCAATGATAATCCAAGTTGATCCCTCTCACATAGTGATAACCTTCACAAAGCGGCTATCCAAAGCCCACTCATCTCTCCAATATTGGGAATATCTGGGGGAGTTCTTAATCAAGAAAAGAATGTCACTACAGCTTATTGTGTAAGAGAGAGAGAAAGAATTCAAGTTGGGAAACGAGGGAAAAACTATAAGGATCGAAGGATACTCGTTGTCCGGTTTTAGCTTTCCGATAAAAAAGAACCCCATTCCCATTCTTTTTCTTTTACTTTCTCTTCCTTTTGCTCTCTTCCCTCTTTGACAATGGACTTCAGCAATGACGATTTCCTCAACTGGGTACTTCAGCAGACCGAGATTGAGCTACCCCAGCAACCGTTATTGAATCCCCAAGAAACTCAAAAGCAACAACCTGCTGGCAGCAATAATGAAACAATGGCAGCAACTACAGCACCCTATACTTTGACCTTTGACAATGCACAACCAACGCCTGATTTGGACATGCTTTTTACTCCTCAACAATGGGACCAGGGGATACCATTGATCAACAGCAATGATCATAGTCCTTTGATGCAGTCATATCATAGTGGGAGCAGCACAAGTGGAAGTTCATCTGATAGCAGCGACAAGGAAAGCAGCCCTCTTCCTAGATCGCCATCACCTCCAGCTACCAAAGGAAGATTTACCAGCAAAGCTGCACTCAAACCTTTTATACCTGAGGACATTGAGCCACCCACCAATGCCGACCATCGTACAATGCCTACCACGGGTCGACTCGATTTCCGTGTTACAGCAACCCCTGATTACAATGTCTCTGCCTCTGATTTGAAAAAGATGACATCCAAAGAACGACGACAATTACGCAATAAGATCTCTGCTCGCAACTTTCGACAACGAAGAAAAGGTGAGAAAGGGTATTACTCTTTATTGGATCAATGTGTCTAACCATATGAGACATTAGATTACATCACATCATTGGAGGAGGAAATTGAAGAATTGAAATCGGATAAGGCTCAGATGAGAAATGAGATCAACAAGGTGTACGACCTTGTCAGCAAATTACGCAAGGAAAATGAAAAGCTGCGTACGGATATGATGATGGTACGACAACAGCAACAACAACAACCACAACAACCATCACCCGATATACCAACTATGAGCGTTCTCAACAATACGGATGAAAATGCATTGACCACGTGGGATGCTCTTTTACGGGACTCAACATGGTTATCACACGCATCGATGCCACAATGGGACTTTTCCCACGTCCTTTCCAAAGATCAAGAAAAGTCTTCTCTTTCTTTGCGTTTGAATGCACGAGAAATGATCCAACGGTATCCATTGCTTGCACCCGCTTTGATGTCTATTGTACTCGATCACACCATGGGCATGAGCAGCGAACAACTGCTGGCAGCTTCTACGTCCACATCATCTTCAATTCCCCTTTACAATAATCGTGATGGAAAAGCACTCATGCCTTTGCTTTACGAGGCGTTACAAGAACGACGTGCATCGATATCTGAGATAACAGATGATGAGGATATGGCAACAGCAAGTGAACAAGATGACGACGATAGCAGTGACAGCGATGTCGATGAAGAGGATGATGAGGATATGCAACTTGTGAAAAGATTACAGCAACAGCAATACGAAGAAGCAGCCTCGGGCGATTCAATGTCATGTCGTGAATGGGTCAAGAACAAGTTGTGTTGCTTAAATGGACGATGCGAGCAGCAATGTTGTGTACGCAGGTTGGCATGCTATGCCATCACAGCCGCTTATCAAGCTTGTGTACAACAATTGTGTGACATCAAGCAAAAGGATATTGAAGGCTGCTGTTCAAAGAACCTCCCAGAGACACCAACAGCTCATCAAGTATCAGCTACCTGTGCGGTCCAATGTGGATGCTAAAACACTCGACACATCTTCCTTCCATCATGCCATCATTCTTACTGTATACACCCTACCTCCCCCACACGCACGCACACGCACACACACACACACACATACCACTATCATACCGCCTATTGCCATCTCGTACATATCAATGTTTCTTTTTCTTGCTTTTAGTCTGCACAGCATCTCTTGCATAATATACATGTATTCAATCAAAGTCATTTTTCTCTCTTGGTTAATGTCACATGCATGGTTATCAAGTTTTAGTTTTCATAAGGAGAATACATAGCTATGGTGTATGCCAAATGGACTTTTTTTATTTGTTAAGGACGCGAGCCTACTATACATAGAAAGAAGTTGGCCTGAGTAAGAAGGCAACGGTTGTTGTTGCTGGCGGATCACATGATGTAAAATAACACCTGCACGTATAGAATTGGATCAGCTCCGCCACTCCTTGAAATCGATGGTTGTCAACCACCTCGCACCCTTGTCGAGTATCGAAACAGCACGCAAAGGTATCATGCGATGGTCATCATTGCTGCTATTGCTGTCGATGTCCTTTGTGCTACGAAGTACGCACTTCCCAGCTTTGATGTATAAATTCCTTGATCATCTTCGTTGTCCACTCCGCTTCTGGCGCGGTGTCAGGAATTCCCTCAATGCCAGTTGTTGTAATCTTTACAATGTCATGGTACTTAATTGAAGCTCCTTGCCATAACAGCTGTATCATGATGATTCACGGCTACTGTTATGTTTGCTTCTGCATGGTGGAACACCGAACTTGTACGTATGCCGCATAGCTGTATCGAGTGATGCAAGGACTTCAGGGACAATGCATGAAAGGTACGCAACCCTCACTTTTATGTCATACATTGGCAGCTAATAGTCACTTTTGTGCATTCCCAACTTTTGTGCATTCTATTGTAGGTGGACGATGCTCCTGCTCTAGACATTCATTTCCATGATTAAAGTAGGTTGATCCGAGCTGATTTGGTTGAGTTACGCTCACACAAGATTACATCGGTTGAGCTACATCGAGCGTGCTTGATGTCCCGAGTGATGTAATCTCTCTTTGACCGCAGCTCAGTCAAATCAACTCGGATCAACCTACTTTAATCATGTAAATGAATGTCTAGAGCAGGGGCATCGTCCCCATGCAGTGGATCTCGCAACAATGATGATTGGATAAAAGTGGCCGTTAGCTAGCAATACATGCCTGTTCCTAGATGATCCATAAAGTAATTATACATTGACCCTTTCATTCATGCAAACGTAGCTGTGTTACACAACACGACCTTCTGCATCTTTTGCTCTGACAGGGTCCACCTACTTGACAATGAACAAAGACCACTCTTCATATAACATCACGCTTACAGACATAAAGGTGCCTGTATCTCCGAACTTTACAATGAAACGTGGGGTTTTTATTAGAGCAATGGGTTCGGCTTGGCCAACTGCACCTTGGGTGCCAGTTTCACGATCAAGCTTGCCAATCCCAGATTTCGCAATGTCGCTACCAGCCAAACTGGATCTGGGGGTCGACCTCTTCGACGACGACGACCAAAAAAATATTTTTTGGGCTAGTTGCGACATTGAACATGAAACTTTCACACAAGGTGCTGTTGGCCAAGCCGAGCCCATTGCTCTAATAAAAACCACACGTTTCATTGTAAAGTTCGGAGATACAGGCACCTTTATGTTTGTAAGCGTGATGTTATATGAAGAGTGGTCTTTGTTCATTGTCAAGTAGGTGGACCCTGTCAGAGCAAAAGATGCAGAAGGACCTCTTTGGGTAACTCAGCTAAAAAGTCAGGACTTCAGGGACAATGCATGATAGGTACGCAACCCTCATTTTCAGGCCATACATTGGCAGCTAATAGCCACTTTTGTGCATTCCCAACTTTTGTGCATTCTATTGTAGGTGGACGATGCTCCTGCTCTAGACATTCATTTCCATAATTAAAGTAGGTTGATCCGAGCTGATTTGGTTGAGTTACGCTCACACAAGATTACATCGGTTGAGCTACATCGAGCGTGCTTTATGTCCAGAGTGATGTAATCTCTCTTTGACCGCAGCTCAGTCAAATCAACTCGGATCAACCTACTTTAATCATG